GTGGATGGTGGGGAATATTTCTAATACATTGACAAGTAAAATAATTCTCTTTGTTTAAATTCAAGTACAATTGCACCATACTGCACTCTGCTGCTATACAAGTGCAATTGCACCATACTGCACTCTGCAGCATTACAATGCGAAACATTGTGATGCCTGCCAAATTGTCCAATCAAAATTAACTTAGTCATTTTTTTTTTCTTAATTGAATTTAAAAACTGATTGAATAGACACACTTTTTTTTCATTTTATGCTAATTGAAAAAAAAGTTTCAAAACAGACTAGAGAGCATTTCTTTTATTCTCATATCCTTAAATATTTGTTTTCTTTGATATGAATCAAAATTAACATCAGTAATTGAGTCAAAGGACTTTCGCAAAGTTACGTGTTGCTGTTGTTGTTTTTTTTTTTTTTATCGAATGACTAGTTTGGGTATGCGCAAAAGATATGAACACTTCTTTTTGACTGATGAATGGATTTTTTTTTTTATTTGCAAGAGAATTTTTACCGTTTACCATAATAAGAATTTAACTGCATTTAATTGCACTGTACTACAATGCAATGTCAATCAATAAAATGAAGTCCATTTTTGTTTTACATTATGGTATTGAAAATAAGGTGTAAATTAACATATTTTCTAATATATTTTTATTTCTAAAAAGTTTTGAAAAACAGAATGGATGGAATATTTTCAATCACATTTTCTTATATGATTGTTCTCTTTCATATGAATCTATATTAACAATGCAGTAATAATGTCGAAGGATTTTTCGACATGTTTTTTCATTGCTATTTATTATTTTATGCAACGCCTAATTTGGGTATATGAAAGATTGAAAAAGAGAGAAATCTCGTGTTTGACTGATGAGTGTAAATTTTGAGAGTGATGCAGATAAGCACCAGGAAGGATAAACAGAATATATTCTGATAACAGTACATAGAGCTAAGTTCTCATCAAAGAACAGTTACTTTTGCTGATTTTTTTTATTGAAAGACTGATATGGATATATGCAAAACATCCCGAGGAAAATTGGAGTGTCGAGTGAAGTTCTTTAATTGCAAGCTAATCAATTTTGCTTTTAAATAAAAATATAACAGTCCTACAATTCATTGCATGGTAATGCTTGATGTACTGTCTAATTAAAACATACTTGGTCATTTTTTTATTATTGGGCAAAACAGTGAAAAAAAATATAAACTTTCCTGTTTGACTGATGAGTGAATATTTTGAGACTCAAACAAAGCGCCGATGACTTTGTAGAACAATCAAAGACGCTTTTCAATACTACTTAGCAGTACTTGTTTAGTGAGATAAGCTCACACAAGTCCTTTACACGCGACATTACCCGTAACCGTTATTTACTCAGACTTTAACACATGGTCATTAGTGAATGTATCTCTCTAACGTCTTATATATAGTATACAAGCCTGTTACTCGTTAGCATTGCTTAAACATTTACATAATATAAAGCAGAAATCAATGATCGTTTTGTCTACGTTGTTCAAAGGGATATAATTTGAATTATCGAACTTTGAAACAAAACTTACATTATGCAAATTTTCAAAGAAACATTCAATCACAAGGACAAATTGTATATAAAAGCTGTCTTTGGAGGGTGGATGGTGGGGAATATTTCTAATACATTGACAAGTAAAATAATTCTCTTTGTTTAAATTCAAGTACAATTGCACCATACTGCACTCTGCTGTAATACAATGCGATACATTGTGATACCATCAAAATTAACTTAGTCAATTTTTTTTCTTAATTGAATTTAAAAACTGATTGAATAGACACACTTTTTTTCATTTTATGCTAATTGAAAAAAAAGTTTCAAAACAGACTAGAGAGCATTTCTTTTATTCTCATATCCTTAAATATTTATTTTCTTTGATATGAATCAAAATTAACATCAGTAATTGAGTCAAAGGACTTTCGCAAAGTTACGTGTTGCTGTTGTTTTTTTTTTTTTATATCGAATGACTAGTTTGGGTATGCGCAAAAGATATGAACACTTCTTTTTGACTGATGAGTGAATATTTTGAGACTCAAACAAAGCGCCGATGACTTTGTAGAACAATCAAAGACGATTTCAATACTGCATATCAGTACTTGTCTAGTGAGATAAGCTCACACTAAGTCCTTTACACGCGACACTACCCGCAAAGCTCCAATTTTTGCCGTTAATTATCAGAAAAGCGAAGATTAATTAAGCAGCTTTAATTTTTTTAAATCCCACTCATTTCTTTTTAAAATCTTAAAAATCTTTCAGAAAATTCTGGAAACACATTTTTATAGGACATGTTTTTAAAAGAAACAAATTATAGCAATTTCCTGTTTACTGCCAATTTCTACCCTGTAACCTTAGAATGGGTCAACCTACACCACGCGTCTTGAATTTAAATCACAATAACATTGGTGGGGGTGGATTAGTAACAGATACGTGCCATATTTAAAAGTGGAAAAAATTACAAGATACCTGAAAAGCTAAAAAAAAAAAGAAAGAAAGATAAATTGACCAAATTTGACTATCTACCAGATATTTCGTGGGGAAGGGGGAGAGGAGTTCAAACTTTCTTCTTTCGAAAAGATATTTATTTCCAATACATTTATGTGGGAGAACTTGACAAAATGTCACAAAAAGTGTGTGTGTGTGTGGGGGGGGGGGGGGGGAAGAGTTATTAGCCTTTCCCTGAAAATGTCTATACTTAATTAACAGCTGAAGATTATTCTCGGGGGAAAAATGGGGAAACGGAGAGCCCCCCCCCCCACCGGATTTTACGTGTATGATTAAAAAAATATTCCTGGAGGGTCGAAAATGTGTTGTGTTGTATGTATTTTTCAAATGCGAGAGTAATATATTTTAATATCTTTATCAGATACATGTATAGAACATGGTTATACCATGATAGTGTTTTCCATGATAATATAAATTCTCGTAATTAAATATGGGTGAAAAAATTAAGATGATGAAGTGAAATCACTTTCAAAACGCTCATAGGCCTATATATTTTAACAAACTATATAAAATAAAGCAGAAGTTTTTATAGATTTATGGTATGGTACATGTACGAAATAACACACCCTTTAAAAGTGAAACCTGAGCTGGCACAGTCCTAAAGTCTGGCAATTTCAGCCATGAATGGAATCTATTGGAAAAGCTGAAACATTGAAATTTTATACATGTGCCACAAAAGCTCCTATTTTAAAAGTACAAAAACGAAAAAATGTTCAATGTTTTCTTGCATAAGTACCAAGATACATTCTGTTCTGGAAAAGCCAAGTCACAAGCTTGCTTTATATCTATCAAACTGAAATATTTCATGCAATAGTATCAGATACATCTTATATGAAAATCTCAGATAGACAAGCTTGTACTTTGTTTCTTTTTATGCCCCCGGATCGAAAGATACCGGGGGTATATTGTTTTTGTCCTGTCTGTCTGTTTGGCTGTCTGTCTGTCTGTTGTCAACTTTAACCTAGCCCATAACTATTGCGCTGTCAAGGGTAAGGCTTTAATATTTGACATGAGTGTTCATTATGACAAGACCTTTCCATTGGTACAGAAATTTTTGATCATGTGACCTCAACTGTGACCTTTGACCTACATTTGAAAAACTTTAAGATTGGCCATAACTATTGCACTGTAGTCTACCTCCCACTCCAGAATTGTGTTACCATCGGGGGCATAGTGTTTCACAAACACATCTTGTTTCTTCTGTTTTTGTTTGTTTGTTTTTTGTTCGTTTGTTTTAGACAAATAGTATCTCAAAATGGATTTCATTTGTACAAAATATTTTTTACAGATGTGGTTTATCAAATATATGGTATGAGCAATATTTCTATAATGTAGAATGGATATATGCTATAGTCAAACAAAGATTAAAAGATCAGTATATTCAAAAGTGGAATAGTGAAGTTCAAGAATCTTCAAAAAGTTTAAATTATAGGATTTTTAAAACCAATTTTGAGTGCAAAAAATATTTAACACTGTTATCATGTAAATTTAGAAAAACTCTGGTTAAATTTAGAACCACAAACAACCACCTTACAGTTGATACAGGTAGATGGAATGGTACTCAAAGAAATGAAAGATTTTGTACCTTATGCGATAGTAATCAGATAGGAGATGAATATCATTATATTTTAGAATGTAGTGCTTTAAACCAACTGAGGAAAATTTTTTTGAACCAAAAATTTTGTTCTAAGCCAAACACTATGAAGTTTTGTGAAGACATGTGCCAAAATGATGTTGATTCTTTGAAAAAATTAGGTACATTTATTACTAAAATTAATAGTATGGTCTGTTCTCCCTAGCTAGCTAATTAATCTCACCTTTTGCTTGACCCACTGTTTTATGTATATATGTTTTATATGTTTATGCACCTCATGTACCATTTACATTGTTTTGAGTGAATAAATTAAATTGAATTGAATTGAAAATGTGACGAAATTTCATCAAAATTGACGAAATTAGGTAAAATGTCTATTTTTGCCCCCCCCCCCTTCTTGTGGCCTCCACGTGTGCTTCCAATCAAAAGCAATGCGTTTTCAAATAAGCATCATTTAAAGATGTTTTATTTCAAACTATCACAACTTTGATTGTGTTTTTATTTTTATATCAAATAAGGGGTCATATACCATACCTTTTTTTTTTAAATACTATTACCCTTTACATTGCAACACTTCCAAGAAAATAAATATTCTACTTTGGTGCTAATATTTTTTTTTATCAGTGACCACCGTAACAGTATAGATTTCAACACCGTGTCCTTTGATATCTCAGATGTGTAAATGTAGAAATTTATTCCGCTTGTAATTTGATTTTATTTTCAGAAGTGCATTATTCCCTTAATCCCTTTAAACCTTTTAAAACTATTAGGTCTCCAGCGTACATTAAGAGTTTTATTTTGTTTACAATTGTTTGTCAAGTGCAACTGATGCCATTTGTAATAATTTTTAAAACCCAGAGCTTAGTTATTTTAACTCTCGACCGACACATTGCATTGTGCGAAGTGTTTTGATAAGGTATTTAAAATCTCGGCCTCCTTGTGATGGTGTAGCTTCGATTTCTCTCAAAGATGGAATAAGTCTCCAAGAGAGAGATTATTAGTAGATCGGCGAGTATTGTTAAAAAATTATTATTGAAAATCGGATTAGTCCAGCTGATTCAGTGAAATCTACACGGTTACTTGGGATATTGAATAAGTTTTTACGTGTGTTACGATTATCATGAATTAAAGCAAATTTATGATGACATTGTTATAAGTCAACCCGGACATGTCAAATTATACCATGTATTGCTGAAAACTGAAGTTTGCCTGGATACGACCACTAGCAGTAAGTCCAATGTTCTTCATTTTTAAACGGGGACAAAATTTATCGGTATTTAAATTCAAAAATATATTTCGAAAGGCAATATTAAGATCAATTAAAGTTAACTAGTCTACAATGTCATTTCATCGATTTTCTTTACTTCTCTGTTAGCCTTTTGATGACGAACCACATACTATGTCTCGAAATACCTTATCTTCGAAGGACAATATATTGTTTCTGATACGACATGCATTGCCAATATAACTTTTTAAAAAAAACCTTTATCTCTCGAAATAAATATGAATTTTAATCAACTTAATTAATTAAGGATAATTCCAGTGAAACGTAATTATTTAGACTTTGTAGGTTTTTTTTTTTTTTTTTAACAATTTAGGTTTTTTACGGAAGGTAAATGAGTTTAAATGGCGCATCTTGTAAAACATTTGTCACCAGTCTGAATATTTAACATCTTTAAGCTTAATCCGTATATTGCTTAATTAATAAGTAAGAAGTCAATATTTTATTGTTATAAATGTACGATTTTGTTTCCAATTATTCCATAGAAAGCTGGAACCAGTGCAATATATATTCATTAAAGGACCCAATATCAAGACCAAATAAAAAGAATTCTAATCAGTGCTGCTCTCTTACGAAATTTACTGCAAAATTTCTTATATGAAATAAAGAAAACGGAATTATTAACGATTTCCCCTCTCTATCTTTGCTTTAATTCGGTTTGAAATAGTACATGTACTATACAAATTCTTTGATGTCATTAAATTAAATAAAGCTCTAATTTAATTCGTTTAATTAGAAATGCTTTATGCAGAATCAAATACCCATGAATTTTAAGCAGGATAAAGGACACCGAGTCTAATTCTATGCGTAAATATTTTGCCTCTAAATCAAAGAAGACGTAGTGTTTTTAAGAATTAAAAGTCATGGACACTAAATATTTTTGAGCTTTATTCAAATCTCATTTGACACCTCAACAAATTCACGCCACCGTAGATATTTGTTTCTCATGGTAATAAACATTTACAGAACTTATACGATGACTAAATGTATGTACATGTAAGCTATATAAACACATAGGGATTACATATCTATAAGGCTTCACACATGTACAAATAAATCTAGAGAAAGGAACATTGTCTTCTTATGTGGTATACTAAAAAATGGAAAAGACCATCTGAATTATAACTTCGCCAATCATCAAAATGGATTTTTATTTCTTAAAATCTTTTGCGATTTTAGTTCATGAAAGACTTATTTAGTATAGCATTAACGACTTATGTTTAAACCTAATTTACTGTCTCAAAGATAATGATAAATTGTCTTGTAGTTCCTCGATTAATCTTTCAAAAAACGTGCACATACAATTGCAGAGTCTTTATCTACAGTAATTTTCTGCCTAAATGAAGTTTATATTACGTTCTCATAATGACAAATTCCAGTTTCTCTAGACATGAACACTTCTCTCTGAAAATAAAAGCCCAGAATTCTGACACGGGGGCCATTTATTATCTCCGTTGTGTAATTTGAAGTCATCCCGACACCGAATTGTATATATATCAAGTGACTACACAGCAACCACTGAGAAAAGTCAGACTGACTTGCAATTAAATCTTCTCTATTAAATCAAGTCTTATTAATCCCACTTAACCTTCTAAAGACACAAACCTTTACATAATTATTTGTCTTAACTCTTAACATTTGCTTTAAATGTTGCAATGGATTAATTATTTTTATAAAATGATGCATGTAATTTTTTTTTTAGGATTATGCATAAGCTTCAGGATTAGTTATACAAACTGGACTGATTTTCACACAAGTTCAAGAGTTTATTAAAAAGACTTTGAAATTACTCAGAATGTTAGTGTGTATGCTAGGCAAAATAATGTAGTTTGTTTAATAGAAACCAGAATATTCATAATTTCGCCATTCTTGTCAAAGCAGTAAGTAAAATGTTATGTAGAGTGGATTGTTGCTGTAATTTTAACTGACTTAATTTTTAATTTGATGTGTTAAAATTCAAATAAATGGACCAGGAATCTAATGTCATACCATAGATTCTAAGCATCTCTTTCCATTATAGATCAACGATGGCGCTATTGATGCTCAAGACTCACGACCTGACATGGCAAGACCACACAATCAATGTCGAGATGATGCTTGCACCTCTTCATGCCCAGTTGCTTGCTAGTAAACATAAAGCTTTGTCAACAAGGTGCAGCACAGTCAAACAGATTTTCGACAAAGAAAGGGACACCATGGTTAAAAACATAAACATTGAGAAAAGAATGATGGAAAGAAAGAAAAACGCGATCCTTCAAAGAAAATCGGAGATAGCTTTCAAACGTTTGTCGTCTGCTAAGAGCGATCCCACAGATACCCGGTGCCATACTATTCCAGACGTTCATACTAAACGCGGGAAATCAGCGCCACCTATATTGAGTGACGCGATGCAAAAGCAATCAGAATTCTTTTTAACTGAAGTTCAAAACATGGAAATGAAGGGCAATAATGCTAGCAGTGAACCAACAGGTGCAAGGAAAGGTTCTGTTTCCGAACCATTCCATGCATTGTCTTCATCAAGAAATAGCGTTAAGTCATCCGTAACATTGCCATATTTTACAGGGGTTCATTCAACTAGTAGAATTGAATCTCCAAGGTATCTGACCACAGGAACAACTCAAATACATGGAAAATCCGTCAGATTTGAAGATACAGACGAAGAGGAACGAAACAGCGAAATTTTGTTCGAAAAGATCAATTATGCAAGACTTCAACAGAAAGTGAAAACATTTGTTCACGAACAAGACAACTTCAACAAACGTCCGGCGGGATATACGTTAAATTTTCGAACCAGGCAGCGATTTATGTACAATCCTTTAAGCAAGAACAATGGGAAAAAGCAACAAACACTCGTTGCAAAAAAGAGCTCAAAACTTTCTCTTGACAAAAGTGAGCTGGAAAAGGCTTTTGATAAATTTTGTCAAAATAAAACAACAGATAATTTACATAACATGATGAAGATGGCAACCAAGCAGAAAGCAAGTATCCGAATTGCCCGTGATCAGTCTATCGTTCCTGCCATTGCAGTCAAGAGGAGCGCAAATAAATTCCTCTCAAATCTCAGGAAAAACAAGGACCCTGAACCTACCGAACAGAATGAAGAGGGGGCAGTTGGTTGAAGGCAACGTCATTTATTCGTCATGTATATTTGTTTCACAATGACATTTTTGATATGTAATACGTATACCTGTATATATGGGCCATATACATGTAGTGGATGTCTGCTCGAGTCAGAGATTCGGAATACATCATTCATTCATGTGCAAAACTATGTAACTTATTTAGAATATGTATACAGTTATATTGAATAAATACTTTCTTTCTATAGTAATCATGTGTAGGTCATCAACCAATTTGACATTACAAAATAAAAATCGAGGCACATTGTACAATGCAAAATAATCTAATTAATAAAACGAATGAAATATCCAATTTTATAAGGACATTTTTACCAATGATAACAATATCTTCAGTATGCACTACTTTTAATGGTGTAATTTATTGTTTTACATATCGGGAAATTGGATAATACAAGTAAAACGTAGGTAAAAACGTGCGATAAAAAGAATCTCGATCCCAGGTTTGTAATGGGATAGGATTTTCATCCAATTGGTTGTGTTTTTCTGATATCCCTTCGCCAAATTCTGGGGAATAAAAAAATCGTTGGATAAAATTATATTATTAATAATGTTATATCCAAGCGTATAAAACAAGAAAAATCATTTTTATATTTTTTAAAAAGTAATAAAGATGTCCGTATTGTTCCAGGCATCTTCTGTGCTTTTTAGAAAGTTGTCATGTTCTAAATTCTGTAATTACTCCAACCCAGTAAATTCAAAATTTAGAAACATGATAGAATCCATTTGTCATTTTGCAGGCTTAAGGCCGGTACACACAGTAAGTAAAAGTATTACATTATTACTACAAAATCTTACTGTGCATTCGTATACATTCTCAATACAATGTATCACAAGGTTTTTGAGGCTTATAAAGTTGTATTATGAATAGAGCAATGTTCTATTTCTTAACATATCTTAAGATATCCGACTTCTATGATATTATCTGGTGTATGATGTATTGTGCTTTATATGAATAAATGTACATGGCCGTAAGAACCGGGGGGGGAGACATTAGGGTCTGTACCCCCCTACAATAATTTTGCCGATATATTGTATACATAGAAACCATAGTTACTTTATGTTTTGCCCCCCCCCTCCGGTTGCTCCCCTCCCCCCCCCTTTTTGACGTTGTAAGATCGAGCACTGGCAAATTCCAGGATTTGGACAGTAGATTAGCATTTTTTGTTGCTTGTCAGATTTTTTTGGGAAGTCCCCCCCCCCCTTTTGAGACCGTTGCTATGGGCCTGTCCCCCTCAATAATATTAAAGGTCTGATGACCCCCTTTTTGGCTTCTCAGGGATTTTTTGCTTGATAGTGCCCCCAAACTGAAAATATTTGGTTGTGTCCCCCTCCGAAACTGATTTTTTTTTAATTCCTTCGGGCCATTTGTATGCATGTCATATTTGGCGATGATTAATCTGAAAACAGTTCGCAATGCGCTTAAATGCTCAAATGTCAAGTAAGTACAGTTTACAGCATTTGTCTGTCACATTTTCAAAACATAAATGCACATCGATACCCTCTATAAATTATGTCACATTTTATTAAAAAACCTGTTGTACAAATGTTTCGTTCACTGTCCTATATTCTATAATAAATTCGATCAATCAAAGGTTTACTTTTCAAACATTGGTGAAACATGATATTAATATTGAATTCCCCTTTAGAATAAATACTGATGGTAAACAACTAACGATTGATCCGTCCCAACAGAAAGACATCGGCTAAGCAACAGATGGTTTCTCGTTAAGTCCATGCATTCTTCAGTTTTTCATCCATGAATTGAAGACCGATAATCCTATGCAAAAGTACTTGTCCTATGCAATGTGACTTTGTAGGACAAACATATATATGGCATATCCTACGGTTGCATCCGACACCTTTCTAAACGCAAAAACTTCTTTTTCTTTAGAAAATCTGGAATAATCGTGAAAATTTCTGAACAATTGTTGTTAAACAACGAAATTTGGAATGATCCCGAGAAGGATTAGTCATGCTTTCCTATATAGCGCTGTTTTCGTCCTTTTTTCATTGTTTCTCTCAATTGAAAGTGAAACTAGAGGTAACAAGAACGTGCAAGGCAGCCATGTTTTATATGGTTCCTTTACATCTTTTGGTAGTCGTGACAATAAGATGCTAATTTATTTGTTCATTTCAGCTCTGGTTTAGTACAGAAGTCAGCAATGAGAGAAAGATTTTTATCCTTACTTTTATTTTTAAGGACTACATTTCCTGAAAAACTGTGGCCACTACAAGATCAGAGATGTGAGTTCGGAACTTTCATACATGGTCACGTGGCAAGGAGAAAAGATGCCCTTATCGTCCTGTATACTGGGGTTCTCCGGGCCGATAGGAGACACAATATACACCAGGTCCGTCTGTTATGACACAGTATCCTTCCAAGTCAAGGACTGCAAAGTCAAATTACAGTTTTCAGAAAAAGATGGAACAAAAGCCAAGGTGTGTGTGTTTTTTATTTACACCCCTTTTTTTCTACTCTCTGCATCAGCCAACCTGGTGTGCTACCTTAAATGCAATAATTTTATGACTTATTTCCTGTATTTTATTTTGTCTGTAGGAGCTTCTAGCACCATATCTAAGTGTCCATGCTTTTTTTTTGTTTGACCCTATAAAGTTATTGAATGATTACGCTAGTGTTCTGCAATAACTTATATTAAGTTCAATCGACTGAGTATTCATCCATGTACATAATAAAACAGACCAAATATAAGTTTTATTAGGTTAATCCTGGATAAATAACAGATGGTGAGCAAGTTGAGGCTGTACACAGTATGCAATCGTTTTTTGATCTACCTCGTATTTTGCAAATACACTCATGCTTTATTTCTAACATTAAACTGGGCATAATATTAATATTGGAGTGTAATGTACACACAGGTGTCGTTTTTTTATATGTTGAATATTAATTACATTCTGTTAATAATGCAGTAGTGAAATATTTAACTTTATGCTTACTCTAGTAGTTCAGCAAGCTATAAACATCAGAAATGGATCATTTTTTATTACACAGTAAATAATTATTTCTTTTACATTATATCAGCAAAATGACCTTTGTTTTGCAGAACTATTCATGTGCCCACAAACCCAGAGTCTGGTGCGCAGAAAGCAATCACATTGCCAATATCAACCTCATAGGAGCGGATCTAAACTCGTCCGACACATCCTCATTCAAAATTCTGGTTACAGCACAGAAAACAAACACATGTAAGATAGATTTAATCTTATAATTTTATACTTACGATTTTCTCATTTATTCATCCTTCTAAAATTATTTCTATATATAATTACTCAAGTTTTTTCCTAATATTTGAAAAATTACTAGTAACTACAGATCATTCTCAATATTCCAACAATTACGCACACCATCCTCAATATTCTCAGAATTATGCATACCATCCTCGATATTTCCTAAATCACCCCGCTGTATTCCATATTTTCAGAATTGCCCACACCATCCTCAACATTCCTAGTATTACCCAAGCCATCTTCAATATTCCCAAACTTACCCACGTCATCTTCTATATTTACATACTTCAATGTTACCAGAATTACATCATTCTCAAAATTCCCAGAATTACCATTGCCTCCTCGATATTCCAGATATACCCAACCTCACACGAACAATGCAAGATTATTTCATTATCATCGAGAAAAGAACCATGTAGTTGTAACTATTTGTTTTGTCAGATGTTGGTAGCATAGGACTATATTTGTTCTCGTTAAGGAGTAAAACGTTTCATGTTTTGATTATACAATCTAGTGTTGCAGTTCAAGTTCACATTTAACTGTTTAACTTTCTTTCAAAGAAAGTTTCTTTGAGGGTTATTCAAAGTCTTTCAAACATTTACCCATAGGATGATTTATCATAATGCACTCAAGGTGGACACGTGAAATAAATGTATGCAGTTTTTAGAGTCTTTTAAAATCTGTCAGAAGAGTTCGTCATCACAATCTTGACAAGCAATTAAAGAATCAGTGAAGAGTTCTAATTTAACCGATTTAAAAAACGCCAAGGAACGCCATTAAGGCCGTCTTTTGTAACAACTGAAATCCCCATTCATTTCATAAATTTTATGATAACAATTAAATATGATAATACTTGCCGTTTAATTGCGTGTACAAGTGAACTCATCATAAAAAGATTGCAACCAAGTGCATTACTGATGACAAAACTTGCAGAATAACATTAAATATGCTCGTTAAACAAGAAGATATTCTATTAAATCTGCATATGCAATTGAAAATGTTCATTAGAAATTAAGAAGTACAAATTTACATGAACAGGTACAATAATTTGACACATTCATCAATTGTCAAATGCCTTTACACTTATTACCAAATTAGGACCCTTGCAATTAAACACTTTCAGTTTTGCATTTGATGAATTCACGAAGATCATTGAAGTACAGCGGTACTTTATGTGTCGGGTCTACTCTAGATAGCGCCGATAAAGAAGGTTATTATTTCAAAATTAGATATAACCCATATCCCTTGCCCCCCCCCCCCCCTCCTTGAATAAAGCCAACAAACCTAAACAGATAAATGGAGAGAAGTTTTTGGAACTTGTGTCCAAATCACTTTGACATATTGTCAATAAAATATGTTCAAAACAACAGTAGTAATTTTAAATGTACCTTTGGTTTTCTAACATAAAAAAGTTAAGACTCAGTTTGCAGGTTTCTCTCTTAGAAACCTAAGCTTGAATTTCTTCTTTCAGAATATTAAGAACTTCAGACTTGAAAAAGTGGCAATTAACCCTGGCAACGCGAACAAATCTGAATCCAAACAAAGATGCGTGCCAATTGATTAAACAAACTACGACACTATCATTCTTAGCTGCAGAAACTTAGCTCTCTGGTTCAGAAAACTCGGACAGACAAACCAGCAAGCTACAGATCCAAGTGCTGTACAAACCTTCGATTTACGCCGTCGCTTCGAGTATTATTTCTTGTATTGTATGTGTTCCCCTGCTCCATCCCTGATATATTTAAATAAGGTTCAATCTTCACAACGTGAGGCTGCTTGTATATTCAAGTGACTTCTTTGTGGGAGTACAGAAGAATTCATATATTTTTTTCCAATCTACTCCAAGGTTGAAACTATGTACTCCCTCCTTATGTGGTCCCTTCCTTGTCCCAGGGGCCATAATTCTGATTTTGAATACACTATACATGTATTAAACTTGCTTTTATTTCCGACTTTGTGATTCTAGAGAATGATTCAATGAAACTACCCTCATTTCAATATTTCCAAAAAGGAAAAGGACTAGCCATTTGTTTCTTCAAAAATTTGGCTTCTCCTTCCCAAGTGTGTTTTGATGTATTTGCAGATCTGTAGCTCGCTGGTTTGAAAAAAATCGGGATGGACGACCAGAGAGCATTGAAAAAAAAAGTGTAATTTCATTGCACACAGAAATGCACACGTTTCTTGAATTTTATATTTAAGCTGCCATCTCAACATATTACTCACAGTGTTCCTAACAAAAAGAAATCTCCACAACCTTTTTATAGCCCTCTTTGGCCTGAAATTGAGACCATCGAAAATTCAATCGCAAATTATCGGGCCTTCCGCAAGCGGAAAAAACATGGAATCTGTTACGAAGGCATCCATGACCCCCCCCCCCCCCTTTTATAAATAATGAAATAAATGCAGGGCGACCTCTTATCTGTTGAGTCTAGAGCAAAACTTCATAGAATGCAACGATATCAGCTAAAATATACCTCAGAGGGACAATCACCTCTGTCTAGCCAATACTTCAATTAATTGGAAGAGACTCCATTTTGTATTGTTTTTTAATGTGATGTAAATACATTCGAGGTGTTTTTCCGAGCTTACCGGAAGACCCAAAAAATCCGATTGTCGAAAATTTTGCATATTTATGTGTCATGACAATTCGGTCCATTGCTTCGTGTAAGACGTGTATACACATACATACATTCTCATTCGCCCAGTGTTGTTGAAGTCTGTTGTTTAAGTCTTTCGAGTCTTTTCTTCTGATGTTGTATTTTTTGTACCAGGTATTAACATTTTCCTGATTTATGAAGCAGTTGAATATTTCAGATAGCATTGACGGAAAGTTTATGCCACCCGTGTATACATTGCTATATTGGTCGAATTAGTTTGCGACCAAAAAAATGGAAGTATAAATAGGCGAAATTTTCGATGGACTTAACAATATACGCTATTTTCATTGGATGAATCTGTAGCTGTCCAGCCGTGCATAGGATTTTTTTTCAGACCAGCGAGCTATAGATCTGGCCAAGTAAAACCATTAAAAAGCATTATAATTTGTCTTATCCTGAATCAAATCTCGCAAAATTCCGATCCTTAGTTATCTGTCCCTGAACTTATCTTCTCCTCCTGTTGAACCAAAGCTACATGTATCTGCCCTGTCAGTTACCAAGTACCTACTTTTGCGAAACCCAACCTATTTCCTTTGACTTGTCTTCTCCTGCCGAACCCTAGCTAACCCCCATGTCTTCTACTACCGAATTATCCCTATCTGCCCCACCATGGGCCTTTTCCTGTGGAACCCTTGCTAATTAACTGCCCCGCCACTTGCATTCTCCCGCTGAATCTCAGTTATTCGAGTATTTGCTCTGTCACGAGCCTTTTCTTGCCGAATCTTATGTATCTGTCTTCACGTGCCGTCTTCAGGCACCTATAAGCTAGCTACATGTATCTGTCCCGTTACATGCATGTCTCCTCGTGCTGAACTCTAGCTATTTGCCCCACCACGTGTCTTCTTCTGCCGAACCCTAGCTATCTGTCTCACCGCATGCCTTCTCCTTCCAAGTCTTACCTATGTGCCCCACCACGTGCCTTATTCTGGCAAACCCTAGCTATATGTCCCACCACATGCCTCCCCCTGCCAAATCCCAGTTATTTGCCCCACCACGTGCCTTCTCCTGGCGGACCAAAGCTATCTTTTGTCCCACCACCTGACTTATCCTGCCAAATCTTAGCTGTTTGCTCACTCATTTGCCTTTTTCTGTCGAATCACAGCTATCCGTCCCACTGCGTGCCCTCTATCAAATCCTAAGTATTTGCCCCACCACGTACCTTCTTCTGTCGAACCCTAGCTATCCGTCCCGCCACGCACGTCTCCTGGCAAACTCTAGTTGTCTGCCTCATGCTTTTCTCTACCGTCTTCTCCAGATATCCAGAATACTCTCACAGTGACATTTAATACCATAACATTAACCCTATGTATATTTTTTAACAGTGTTGTACATGAAGATTGGAATCAGTGTTGGACTAGTCTGTCTTTGTGTCACTGGCATTCTTGTAGCCGTGTGCTGTTTCAAGAAACAACAGAAAGTGAAAAAGGACTCCGAGCTAGATTACACCAGACTGTCAGAATAAACACAGAATTTGTTGTTTGTTTGTTTTTTATTATTAAAAAAGCTATTAATTCTTTATGAATTTTCATAAAATCTACAAACATACCCTATTGATCATGCATATTGATAAAACAATAATTTTCATTTTCGTTCAATTTATACATACATGTATATTGCATGTTCATAATTTCCGATATTCAGGATTATATCTTAAATGATAAATTTATATGTATTTTCCTTCTAAATAAAGATGTATATATACATGTGTAGTTCTGATGAAGGTTGCCTCATCATTAAAATTACAGTTATGAAATGGATTAATGTTTAAATTCATAAATATTTCCAATTTATCAATGTCAATTTTTAAATAAAATAAAATAATACATGTAATTCAGTTTTGATTTAATTTGCACTTTAGTCTTTAGAACGTTTCGAACTGATTTTTGTATAATATTTCCGAGTTGATATCCTTATTTTTGGAAAACTACAGATTTGTAATTCATCTACGACAGAGACCACTTCTAAATTCAATGACCAGCCATGCTTAAAACAACAATCGTGCATAAAGTTGCTTAGACTAAAGGGATATCGCAAACAATTACTGCCCACAGAAAAGTTCATCAATATTCAATAATTACATCACATTTATCATTAATGCCTTTAGATTACTGAAGAAATGTCAATTCGTTTTGCATTTTATCATTAATGGTTTTATAATGTCATTTTTTCATTCTTGTGAAGGTCTCTTGCTACGTCATATTTATATTAAAGTCAATCAAGTTATTAATATGTAGAATAATTACAAATGATAAGAAATAAATAATCAAAGTAAAATTTGACGTTTCAGAAGGGAGTTTCTCGGAATCGATAGGTCAAGTCCACGGATGATAAATATTTCTTAGAATCAACAGTCTTATCAGACAATGCATGCATGCATGTGATTCAAACATGTTATTAAAATAATTGGTCTGTATTGAACATGTAATATACTTTCATATAAATTACTTGAATCTAATTCGCGAAAAACATTGGTTAAAAAACACTGTAACCCTTTGAATGATGAACCACGTCCTCCGGCGTAGCAACAGTCTTCATTGCTTGACGACGATTCCAAAAAAATATTGACTGCACAGAATTTATGCGCTCACGATTCACTGTTATATGAATTTGTTTAAAACATTCAATATATAATCACTATCATGTTTCTTTCACTATGAAGGAAAAAACATCCGCTTAGATAGTCTAGAGGCATTCTACAATTGCATAATATTTATTAAATTAATGTGTTTTAGATCCTTGCCATTTCAAGGTTTTAGCGAAACAGCGATAAGCTTAAGTTGTTTGCAAGCAATATGTATAAAATTGTACCAGTTAAGATGCTTGATGACATAACAGACAATTAAAACAAGCATTTACTGCAGTTGGCTAGAGATTAATCACAAAAGACAACGTTTATCTGTACCCTGATTAATCAGGTTGCTGCAGAAATATGGCCGAAATGTTGATGACTCAATCTCATCACCCGATTCGGAAAATGGGAGACTAAATAAAATTAGATAAAAGGAATGAAACGTAATTTAAAAAAAAATTCAGGACCTGTATATAAGTAATTATTTACTCTATAGTGACATGGTATATACTTGCATCAATGAATTTATTAAAAGAAAAGAAAAACATAACTTAAAAGAAGCTATTTTCAAGACTGATAGCATGTCTTTCATATTCCATATGTATACTGTGGTTCAGATTCAGGATTTGATAATAGGCCTACTAGATTAATTCTGGTAAGTGCAAGTAATTTTCTTTTTAAATATATATTTTTCTCATAATAAATAAACAAAGTAATTACAGATACACATCTTTCATTTATGAGATACTCGCTCACACCATCAACATCCATTATTCATACTATTCGTCTAAATTAAAATATAGTTACAAAAAAAGAGAAGAATAAAAAATTATTAAACAATGAAGGTCAAATTCAGCAACAAAAACATCGAGGGGGTATATCCCTTCCCAGAAATAGCATATACTTGTATCCAATTTTGGTTAAATGGACTAATTTTATTTCTTAAGAACAATTTTAACCTGATGACTAATCCGGAAAATGTACATCAACAACAGCATCCGAAGCATTCGTAAATGCAAAATCTGTGAAAGTCTGCAGGGTTGATGTCATTTCACTCAAAGCAAATTTGAAAAGGTTATTTTGGTTTAAGCGACTTCGCCTCTTTTCTGAAGTAACCTCTTGTGTGGATGATATTCATTTAAATTCTTGCACCTGCACTGTCTATAGCGCTACAGGTTTTGGAGTAACCTTCATCCAACCTCATTCTCTGTGGTTCAATGTCATTTTTAACATTAATTTTAAAAATTCTTAATTTCGTAAGAAGGAAAATGGAATTTCTTGACTACAGTATTTTTTTTTTTCGAAACAATGAATTTGTGATTGAAGTGTATAAACGAGAGAATTTGATTATGCTTTCTAATCTTATTTGTTCATCAAAAAAATTATTAGTTGAATTATTAAATAAGTTAATTTACTACCAGGTAACCAAATTACCTGAAACAGGTGATGTAAATCACAGCAAAATGGGTCTTTTCCCCCTTAGAGTCAAATTAGAAAGTTTAATGTTTTATAAGCGTCCACTTATTAGACTTTTCACTTACATGGAGATGTCGCATAAAATTCTGTCAGTCATTATACCTTTATCTTAATAAATTTCATTAATGTTTCTTGTCAAAAAAGAAAACCTATGAATGGTCTGCTGGGAACATTCAGGAAATTTTTGGATCGTTTCATATTCTCCTATCATAAAAGTACAAATTTTCCCCAAATTCACCCCTTTGATTAACGAAATTAATTATTATCAATTATCATAGTGCTGACCTTTTGACATAATGGTAATAAAATGTCCTTGTAGAAAAATGAAAACATGATGAATCGTCACCGAATAAAACTGCTAAAACATACAGTAGGCTTTTAATTTAATTTTTCCATAGGATCTGAAAGACAAATATCACTAATTGATTTCTGATCAGTAGGTATGTTATTAATATATAAAATCATAAATGAGTATATGCAATATTACTCAATTATCATTATTATATTTTTAAAAAGTGTATTTTCAATTTGACATTTTTTTTTATTTTTAGGTATGATTTGGGGGAACTTGATCTTATTCAGCTTACTCGGAACAGCAACAGGTACTCCTATAATTTCAAGAATTTAGCAAATAAATAAATAAGTAAGTAAATAAATAAATAAATAAATAAATAAATAAATAAATAAATAAATAAATAAATAAATAAATAAATAAATAAATAAAATAAAATAAAATAAATAACAATAATAAAGTAAAAAATCTGCATATTTAAAAAAAAAATTGAATTAAAATATATGTGAATTTAAAAAAAAATGGAAGAACTTCGATATACATCTTAATAATAGATTCATTATCCTACATAATTTATAAAATCAATTCATTTTTTATTTTAAAAAAAATTACATGTACTACATGTATATTTATTTTCTTTTCACAGGACGCTACATTAATGGAATACAGAGAGTAACTAGATCGGGGAAATGTGCAAATACATTTAATTTTGTTTCTCTATCGACAAAGTGTAAAAGTAATTTAGACTGTGATATTTCATCTGTTTGTTGTAGAATTCATTCATCAGACCAATCAGTTTGTGTTCCATTAAGACCCTCAGATATTGTCATCGTGCAGTACTCCCCGAGGTCACGAACTGCGGGGGAGTCGACATTACCTTTACCCATACCCCGTCCCATTCCCATCCCCCTTCTTGCTTCGTTCACCTCGGTTTCCCCGCCAAATTATATCTATGCTCCTACGAATATTGTGTATAAATAATAAGGAAATGGGCTGATGAAGGAATTCACTGTGAATTACTTTTAAAATATACATCGGAATAACTAAAGATTTCTGGAGACGTGATAGACATTTTGAAAGTCATAAGGATGGTATGCATTTCCTCTTGATACTTGAAAGTATTTGATAAATGTGAATTCTATTTTAAAAGTTTGAGAATAGAATTCAAAGTTTGTTTTCTACAATGGACATTTCAAGGATATGTGATGTGTCAAGAGGTTGTGCTTTTTCACGTCGAGGGGATTTATGTGAACTACGTCAACGCGTCAAAGTGCGGGCCGTCGTATTTGGCAGAATTGTACGATTTAATCATCGCAATCAAGAACTAAGTTAAATTTAGTACTATTTTTATTCGCTAAATGGACAACTTTAATGAAAATGTATATTTCATATGTTTTTTTTAACATTCATTTTTTTTCCTTGTTTCAGTGTGATGTTTAAAATTACAATGAAGCTTGGTTTACTTACGGTGAACTTCACCTGAATTGTTCTCTTTCTCGAAAAATTAGGAACTTGTACATTTTGCTACAAGACAATGAAATAATCAAACAATGTTGTTACATGTAGTGTGTGTGTTAATCATCAACACAAATCTTCTTTTTACCTTTACGAACGAATCTTCTCTAAAAAAAAAAAGTGCATTAAATTAAAGACTAACGGCATGAAAAGAAAAAGTGAACTTGAAGGATAGCTACGACCAATTCCTCTTAAGTTCTAGGAAAAAATAGTAAAACGAGGTGAAATAGTCTCAAGGATATTAAAAGGACAACAATAAAAAAATTTCTTCTCCTTGTAGCACAAAATGGTAATTTTATGAACATGCATTAAAATTTGTAATTTTAACACAGTATGGAGAATGTTGCAGAACATTGTATTATGCAAATTAAATATGTGTTAATAAAGATACATGTACCTTTATGCAAATATTTCAGGTGGGGCAATTCTGAACAAACACACTGTCTTGTAAAATATGTCGGAAGCAAAATATCTATATGAAACATGTTGTGTAAAAACTTGCACCTGGATATTTTTCATTTCTGAATTTACAGTAAATTACGTTCACAACTGATACAGATACTACACATACTTGCTTATATCAAGTTAATTAAAAAAATTAAAAAGTTTCTTAGCTGTCCCTAGGGATTTGTTATAGCCGTACTTACTGTATGTTGTCGTGTTTTATTTAACGACAAAAACTCATTTCAATCAATATAAGAAAAATAATTAAATACTGTGAAGATAACGACCGTTGTACCTTTACATTAATCCATCCCCACCCCAGCCCGTAAGTAAATGTATGCGGATATCCTTTGTCCGTCCCTCAGTTACGGAGGCCCATTTAGGACCTATCGAATAATATTTTTGAATTTGATATAACGAATTGTCGAATTTATGATAACGAATTTAATTCGATATAACAATTTCTTTGAATTCGTTATAACAAATTCAATTGTTAAAATCAATTTTTTAGATTCGTTAAAACGAATTCAAAAATTCGTTATAACGAATTAAATTCGTTATAACGGATTCTTAAACTTGTTTTGACGAATTAAATCCGTTAAAATGAATTCCTTAATTTGTTATAACCAATTAAATTCGTTAAAACAAATTCGACAAATCGTTATATCGAATACCTATATATTTATCTATAGGTCCCGATTGTTGAATTTGATTAAACGAATATAATTCGTTGTAACAAATTTTTGAATTTGTATAAACGAATTTAATTTGTTATAACAAGTTTTTAGAAGTCGTTTAAACGAATTTAATTCGTTATAGCGAATTCTATAAATTTGTTATAACAGATTAAATTCATTTAAACAAATTCGACAATTCGTTATATCGAATTCAAAAATTTTTTTGGTAGGTCCTAAATGGGCTTCCGTATGAATGACTATACACCCTCAGATCACTTTTTGTGTCTAGATACAGACTTGACTCAGTGGCATCTCTTATTAATGGCTAGGGCCAGTAAAGCCGTTGGTTTGAGCTAAATTATTTCTGCTCGGTCCGAATTTATGTGTCGCCCGGATATTGTAGTGCTTAAAGAGCTTCGTTCTAGACTCGTGAAGTAAGGAGTTGATCCTTTAGTTGCATTGTGGGTTCGAATTCCACTTCGGGCCGTAGAGACCGGTCCTTTGGACATGGCCATAGAGGTCCCGTGTTACAAGTAGGTGCTGTCACGAAAAAGATTCATCGCTGCTCAGTGACAAGTACAAGTCTTAATATGCAGCCCTTCAACACCAAGTGGTGGCGTCTCAAGACGAGTGAAAAATTCTCTCGGAGACATAAAGCAAACAACCAACCAACTAACCCAAATCCTGAAGCCATAATAAAGAATGATTATTTAAAGATTTTTAGACGTTTCACTTATTCTGTTTTATTGTCTGTTTAGAACATTTCAAATTGACAGCAAAAGTATTCTTCTTCAGAAAATTTCATAACAGTCTTCCTAGTTCCTAGTTTGCTGAAAATCATAAAAATCGATCTATCACAGTTTAATTTATTCTTTCTATATTTGAATTGGTATTTACTTTTTTGCATTTTCTTGTCTAATAGATTTTTAAAACGATTTTATGAATCCCAAAAACTGACTAAAACATAAGACAAAGTCAATAGGTATCTAAAATTTGTACTTAACTACTCTATAAGATTTGCAAATTTAATTATCAGAAGGGCTTTTTCCCTGATCACTCATTTCATTTACAACCCTGTGGTACCATCACTGGATGCTCTACACCTATAAAACTGTCAATGTGACAGTTTGGAAATTGTGAATCACGGTAGAATCTAAACATTTACATATTTTCTTTTCCCAATCACAAAATAATCCACTGTAAAACTTGAACTGTTCGGAAAATGTTATCAACCTTTTTTTTTGTGGTTTGTGGTTCAAACTTTACAAGAACCTTTGCCTTGAACACACAAAAAATATGAAGAGCGGAAAGAACTAGATGTGTAACTTTTGTGAACCTGTTGTAAGTAATTTATAGCATCAAGTGAATTAATTAAAAATGTTGACATTTGTTTTGATGAAACTCGACAACACATTTTTAATTGAAATGAAGTCATTGGACGAGACTTCCTGTTGTCACCGAGGACTATATACACAGCCCCTACAAGACACCGGCTTCAGTTTAACGTTGCATAAAGAGTAATTAGGTTGCTTCTTGGAAATTCGAGATTTGAGGGAAATTGAAACAATTCAACAATTCTCGCTTTGCAGACTTTTCCATTCCAAAACATGAGCTGGATTTTGTGTGCACTGTTTGCTTGCTTTAGTATCCTAGAAGGTGAGGATTTAAATTTTCATAAAAGGGGGGGGGGTCATGTGTAGAATCTTTATTATAGCATTCTTTCCAGGGATTTTTTATAATAAAAATTATTATCCAGAAATTATTTGCATCATTTCTAATTGGTTTGATTCTACTTGTGAGCCAAACATTTTTTGTACAACTTTCTAATTCTCAAAGGGCAAAGTCTTTGATGCAGAACTTTCCTCTAGTTTAGACCTAAGATCTCTAATTTTGTAACCATTACACAGATATCATAAAGAAAGCTTTAAGTCTATGATACTCTCTAAAAGGTCTATTTAATTTTAACATCTGTGACTTTGAATATCAACTAATCTTAATAAGGGTATATCTGCATATTCAGAACTCTTTATAAAGTGATGGGAAGTTCGGATATCACATGTAACCCCGCTTAAGTAATCTTCTTCAATAGTATTCTAAGCGCATTGAACTGAAAGCAAGCCTTGTATTTCATCTGTCATAGCAGTATTGGGACCTGGCAGAAACACACCGCAAATATTTTAAAATAAAAAATAGAACAATTAATTAAACATATGTTTAGTAACGCATGATAAATTGCTCTCTTCGCAAGAACACCATCGAAGTTAACATAAATCAAAAGCCATTAACCTGTTAAATGTTAAAGATCTTTAAACCAATCAAACATCGTCTGTGATGTATCACTGAAGACTTCACATTATGATCAAAGGTCGCAAAATACGTGATAGGTATATTCTAGTGACTATGATAGATAATTTGTTGTTTCTGTTAGATTTGTTACAATTCAAGTCGTGAGAAATAATTAACCTTATTTAGAAAACAATTTTTAACGCCTTCTAAATTTTATGGCATCTTAAATTTTTATGGGCAGTACTACTGCACGTAATGCTGCTTAAAAAGGAACGATAACAAACCAGGACAGTAAAGAATTTAAAAATTCATTTCTCGTATAACTTACCAAGAAAGATTCTTTGTAATACGCAACAAATATGTACGGATTTGGCTTTATTGTGCCTTTAAAACTGAATATTTTCAAAAACATGAAATAATGTGATAAATATGGCATAAAGGAAGACCGTTCTAGAAAGATGACGTCATTAAATTTGTTACGTTTCTAAGTTTTTAGCAAAAAAAAAAATCAAAATGTTTCATTTCTAGGATTATTTCCTGAAGAAAATAGTGCCCACAACTGATGCTTATTAAAATTTTTGGATATGTTGTGTACAATCGTTTCTTAAAATCTTTTTCGGCGATGCATGTGGTCTATACAATTTGTCTGAAAGAAAATTTCACTGAAAATTGATGTCTTTTGCAATTACGAGAAGATGTGCATGTTATGATGAGCATTTAGGACGACGTATGAGAAAAGCGATTTGTATGTCCTTACTGAATGGAATTTGAGCAATTCAGAAACATGTTTTAATTTCTCAAAACAATATATTTTTGATAAAGTGCGGGCAAGATTTGTATTGAAACCGTACCTTTTTTTCAAAACTTTAACCAGATTTCTTTTTATTGCAGCCAGACATATCACAAAGATGACGCAATCAGGGACGTGTTTCACTCATAACATCATATCCTCTGCGAATCGAGAATGCAAAACTGACATGGACTGTGATTCTTACATGGCTTGTTGCCAACACACGAGAAACAATTATTCGGTCTGTGTTCCATACAAAGGAAAAGCTATTTCATTGGCGAATACACGCCAGTCTAACAGCATGAATTACAAAAACAACATTTATAAGTTCCATTTGCCACAACCTTCCCCAATTCCTCGGCCATTTCTCGATGAATCCAGTCGTCGAATGAAGTCGTGAAAAACTCGTCGTGATTCCAAACTCCAAAACTTATCGCGTGGATTCAAAGCATTTAATCTCGAATCACTAGTTGAGAAAGATGCTGCTACAGGGACAAATGTAGTGTGTAAGAGGTGTCTCTCAATACGGGGACCAAGCTGTGTATTTGGCTTGCTAGGTTAGGGTACTAAACAGTTGGGGTATTTCGAATGCTGATATTAGGGAGGAGATGCAATTGAGTGTGAATGGGCAGAGATTTTCTTTTACTCCAAAAGAACGATGATGTTATATTTATGACAAGAAGTTTATGTATGCTTTAATACATGTATCTCATATGTATATGCATAATGAATGTGCTTCTGAAATGTGGCATACAGCGTGCTTCAATTAAACTTGAGAATTCTTATTTCACTTTCTGTCTGTTTGATAATTGAACCAAAAAAAAAACGCAGTTTCCCTCGGCCTTCTACGAAAACATCCAGACTGTCGTTTTGATATAGGACATATAGTTGGTTATAAGACAAATGGCTTATTCTGAGTGTTCTTTATGCAGCAAATGACTATTATTTTAATTAATGAGGAATGCACACTAACTAAAAACGCCCAGAGGAATATATATATATATATATATATATATATATATATATATATACACACACACACACAAACGCCTCCACTTTCTTTACTTCAAATTAATCATAAGTGGAATTCACTTTAATATCTCTAATTAATATCTCTAATAAATAAAATTAGAAGACATTTCTTTAACCATGCTTAATTCATATGTATTCATAATTAATTATTAATAAGATGTTTCCTCAATTATCTTGTATGTTTGTGAGTGAAGCCCGGATATTAATTGGTTTAGACAAGCGTACACAAATAGAAGATACACCTGTACAAAGTGTTTTGCAAAGGCGTTTTAGAGGAAAAAAATATTTCTTCAGATAAAGAGCTAGGTTTACTTTATCCATAAAATGGCCCTGCCCGTATACCAGTTATCTGATCAAGTCACAATGTCCCTTTTCAAACAGAGACTATGTGCTTTCTTTTTCTATTAAAAAAGTTTTTTTCTGAGAGTCCAGGTATTGAAAAACAGGCTTTGTGAAATAGCAATGTTCTTGAATTTTGAAGAAAATGGGTGCCTGAGTACCTTCAGCAAAAAGTTAAAATATGAGCCCACCCCTCGATCCAAAAAATAAAACATGGACTGTGATCTTCTGAAACAGTTCTTTCATTATATGATTGAACATTTTGGATCAGATGTTGGAGACTATGAAATAATATTGAAAGACAGCTTAAATTTTTGGCCATTTTTGAAGAAATTTTCAGGAATTTGAAGATAATGACGAAATTCATTAGTCATAATACTTGAACTAGCGAAAAAATTAGGTTAATTTTAATAGATATGCAGACACCAAGGGTCCAAGTGAAATTCAATGTATTTTCAACAAAAACTGTGCTGTTTGATTTTTCAGAAATTCACAGGGCAAAAAAAAGCCCAAAGGCCCTTGTTCTTTACTCCAGCAATTTTTGCATTACAGATAACAGAGAAACAAGCATAAAAAGGTGTTAAAATCTTCAACGATCTCAAATATAATAGAGATCAAAAATCCGTTCTGATTAAACGGTTTTATAATTTTGAAAAAAAATGTCTCTAATCAACTTCATAAAAACTCTAATCAGAACGTGCAATGTTGTAAAACACTAATAAGTAACAATGTCGATCGATGCCATATTTCTAACCTTCTTCAAAAAAATTTACTAAAAGGGTTGTTTTTTATGCTTGATCATTTGAAAATGGTGCTAATTAAGCAATTTGCTATTCACGATCAAATCCTCAAAAATAACTTGAAAATTTTACAAAATTTGTGTAAACTAAAAAAGGAAATCCGTTGTCACATTTTCTTGCATTGTTTTCATTCTCAGTATTCCATTCTGAAATGTTTTTTTGGGATGAACCACTCGAAAAAAAATAGCCTTGGGATGTAGGGATGTCCAAAGAGCACCAATTGATACCCACCCACCTCACCCCCTTTTAAAGCAAAAAAAAAAAAAAACAAACAAAAAAACAAAAACAAAAAAAACAAACAAACAAACAAAAAAACGTGCATGATGATAACAAACTGTGATCAATCTCATGAATCCTGCAAACAATACAAACCAAGGCAAAAACACAGACCCCTCCGGAAACACTAGAGGTCGCTGTAGTCCGGCACAACCCCTCTGTATTGATCAGGTACATGGAGTTATCTGTATTCCAAATTAGTATAAAAAGAATGGCCTTAATATTGATATGAAACATCTCAGTCAAAATGCAAACAAGGTCATTTCATTACCTGAGAAGATGCGGAAAGTAGAAAGTCCTCAGAACATGGTCATTGATATCATATTTCATTATGTAGCTGGGATACATAAACAGCTTATGCAGGTGATAATGTAATATTTGTAAATAGGGGAAATTGACGGTGGAAATGCATAAGTCATCCCGTTTATCATATAGTTTCGTAGTATTTTGCCATTAACGTCTATACAAGGGGTGATCAAAAAGTTCGCGAACTATCTCTATATTTAAAAAACCAGTATTCAGATCAGAATGAAATTTGGCACACATATAATCATAAACATATTTTATAAATAGCAGATGGTACGTAATGTTTTGCTCCATGTTTGTGACGTCTTAATGTGAAAATGACGTCAATATATAGATGACTTACAAGTAACAAAAAATGGCTGACTCAGTCGTACTCGAGCAACGAAAGGCTGTAAAGTTTAACGTATATCTTGGAAATTCCTTTGCAGTAGCATATAATAATTTGTTTAAGGTTTATGAAGACAAAAGACTTGCCAGAAGTTCAATTATTAATTGGACTGATTGTTAAAGTGAAGGAAGGAAGATGGTTAAAAATGATGTTTGTTCTGGTGCCCAGTGAAAGTAAGATGGAGAAGATATGCGTCCTTAGTTGTGCAATTTGTTATGAAAGATCGCCAAGTTACAGTTAGAGATATAGTTAAATATTTTAAGAATATTATATTAATTATTAAATCCCTAAAATGCCGTTTACTTTAGACTTTAAACATATCAGATATGATAGGAAGAAGGCGCCCATACTTTGTCCACAATGGAAAAACGACGCACCCAAGACAGAGAAGTCGGGTTGTGATGGTCACCATGCTCATAAAAGATATCCTTATCAACCCATCCTATAGCTGAGATTTGGCCATTTATGACAAATGGACAATTCTTGTTTAAAAATTAACTTGCATGGTAAGAAACATAAGACTCGGAAAAAATCTTTCAGCTTCTGTAAACAAAACGCTACGGAGCATGTCACGTGACCGCCTGGATCACGTGATTTGCGCATGGGCACAACAGTGGCAGATGTGCATTAAAATTGGAGAGGACTACTTTAAAAAATAACAAGAAAACATTGATGTAACCATCAATTGTCGCCCGGGAAATAAATAAAGTAAACAATGGAAATGAGTCTTTATCATCAAACCGCTTCGATATGTGTGAAAAAGGCATGCGTCTAAATGATGGAGACGATAGTCGAAAATATTTTGAAAACTTATAGTCGGATGAAAATCGATCAAAAACGATACCCTTTTAAACTTTATCAATTCCTCAAGTAAATGTTGGCTGCATAAAATATAATTTGAAACCAGACACATGCATCACCTATTTTCAAAAATATCTTTCACTTTAAGAATATAAAACACGAACTGTGTAAAGTACATTTTTACGTTTTTATGCGATAAGTAAAATTCGATGTTCTAAAAAAAGGGACCTGTCGTTTTTCGATAGTAAATGATAAGCAACTTTATATATTAAATATGAAAAACATATATATTTTTAGAGATTCACTTTATGGAAGTAAATATATTGTGTATCTCGTAATTTATAAAGGGAAAGAACATTCTGATTAACAATCTTTTTAATGTTTAGAAAACCTTTAATTCTGAATAACTTCTCCCACCTCAATCCCCATATACCAACACTTAAACTTATATGTATAGAGCAGCCCGGTCCTCCGGGCTGCAATAAAAACCGAAATCTAATTTATTTCTTTTATGGAAGTTATTCAATTAGTTCGCGAACTTTTTGATCACCCCTCGTAGTCAGTAAGACATCCAAATATGAAACTGATGTGGCAGACTCTGTGGTATCCTTTATTTCGAGTTTAATGGGATACATCGAGTTGACGTCTGAATGAAAATAACTATTGTTTATTGATAAAACGTCGACATCCCTTATTGTCCAATTGAAGGCCATGCAACAATATCGATAAAAACAGATCGGCTAATAAAGGAGTACAATTTGTGCCCATCGAATTGTTGGGACTCCGAAGACCTGGTGCGAATGTAACAATTAAAGAATGGAGAGTAAAATTAAGTTTTAAATTCATTGTCTTTGGAATAGTTTCTACTGTTTGCGGGGAATAACTTTAAAATAAGAAAAACTAAATGTTTCAAACAGAACAAAACTTGGTTATATCTCTGGAAAACATGTAGGCAATTTTTTTAAAGAAGAAATTTGGCAGAGGACGATTATTTTTCAGGGTTTTTCTTTGCAGTAGAAAGACCAATATGTGCATTTTAATACTGCACATTTAAGGAGGCAAAACATGTGTTTGCATATTTTCTGTTGAAACACATTTTTAAAGCACAAAAATATGGCAAAACGACATTCCAGACAAAGACCTTTTTTTTTAAATTGTCACATATGCATCACCAGACTACACTGTTGAGAGAACTAATTCAAATACCTAAATTAAAATAGTTTTTACCAGAAAATTACTAAAGAAAATAAAATAATTCAGACTTAAGTACTTTTCTTTAGATTTTCTTTTCTTTTTAAAGAGACATAAACTTAATTCAGTTATAAAAATTCTTTTGTTGCCTTAATTGATAATGAGTAGCAGAGCGTCTAATGCAGGGGCCATAGCAATGATTTCAAAAGTGGGGAAGGGAGGGGGGAACCCCCTATAAATGAATGAATAAACAAATAAATAAATAAATAAATGAATAAATAAATACTGCCCAAATTTGAAAATCCTAAAATCCTATTTCGGGAGGTGGGGGGGGGGGGGGTTTAGACCTTTCTTTAATTTTGCACCCTTTTCACCTTGCAATTTTGCAAGTGTTTGACCTTATAACAACAAAAAGGGGGGGAGCAAGCAGCATAAGAAATTCCATATTAAAACTACAGCAAAAGACTATACTCAGAAAAAAAGGGGGCGTCCCTCTACTGTATCAGTGTCTGTCCTGTGGTTATTTAGCACAACAATGGCTTCTCAATATTAAAACATTCTGTGTTTGAATTCCGATATATGAGTATTTGATACAACTATATTTTTTTTAAACATGACAATATACTATTTTTAATTGATATAAAAGTCAGAATTGAGATAGTCTGAGACGTATATGTTTTGAAAAGTAACCATAGTTTATGTCACTATGACTTTTTCAGAGATTGTAGATTGTCCAACAATAGGTTTTTCAAGTACAATGTATATTATAAAGTCTCTGTTTGTTCAATATGGCATTTCCTTTAAATTTTTGAATAAAACTTGATACTGCATGGTTCTCTAAAATGCAAAAAGTGCAAACAAGATGATTCCATCGTTGATATAGCATTCCATAATGCACAATGGATAAAGACCTGCTATTTGAAATTTTGTGTGTATTTCTTTGTTTCCTAAGGTTATCTAAAGATTTGAGAGAAAAACTTTGTTTTCAAAGATCCCAAGAAATGTTCTACCTGAAAGCTGTTAATTTTCTTTTCTCATTTCCATTATACAATTGTTAGCAAAGAATGCTATAAAAACTTGATAAAATTTGAAGAGAGGAGAGATGAGTTATGTCATTTCTACTTTAAAAATTCTTTTTTGTCTGACAGTCATTTATGTAAACAAGATTTCCTACATTTGTAACTCATGAGACTAGAATTTTAATTTTGTAATTAAAAGGCAATTTACAGTGTAGAACATCGTGATTTTTTAAGTTTTTGATGTTTATTTGGCATATTACATATAAAATGATGACACTCTATATTTTTTCTGTCAATTAATTCAAGGTTTTTTTTATGCTTTATATATCATTTTGTTTTTATTGCTTTTCCAAATTCGAAACAATCTACTTGGTATGCAATATAAGACCATGCAGTTGCCTACAATTCCGATGTTTGGCAAGTTTTTTTTCTTTTTACTTTCTTGACAAATTTAAACGAGTTGCAAAAAAATTCCCAAGTTTTAATTAAATAAATGCAAATAAATGCAAAATTTAAAACATGACATCATTTTGATTTTCTGTAAAAATAAGAGTAATACACATTCAAAATATCAAATTGTTTATAGTTATCGGTTATACAGAGTCGGAAATTCTTACATGTAGATGGTAAATCAAAGAACAAGTTATTTCAGGATCGCTTCGTGTCCAAAATCCAAGAAAGCACACATGTCGTGGATTCCTTTAAAATGATTTGAAATTCGTTTGCCCCCCCCCCTTCCCCCCAACGTTTCATTACAGTGGAATGGCTTATTATTCATATTGCTTACAACGTTTTTGAATGAAAATTGCAAACTGTTGATAATATATACAGAAAATATATTTGAGGTTGAGGGTATATTAATTCATCCCATATAATAAACGTTTTTATCATAATAAAGCTTACTCTTTAAATCATGCACCATTACATCTAGATCTTTACATAAAATATGACAATCTCCTTGTTTTGTTCCAAAACATTAACAAAAAAGCATACCCTGAGAAACGAAACAGGAATATGAGAAAATGAAAAAAAGGCTTTTTAAAATACTGTGACATTTTCTGCGGTTTACCAAAAACCATAGATACCAAACCTGATTAAAGATAAATAATCATTTTCTGAAGTGTCATAAATGAAATTAATCAATCATTATGCACCTGGCCCATTGGACCTTTAAGTCATTACAGACAAATTTGAATTACATATTGACACGACTTATTAATAATTTTTACATATCAAGAAGCTGCAACATTTGAATAAAGAAGATAAGCCTGATATTAAGGTTAACACAGATTAGGGAATGTACATCAACGGATGATTCTAGTAGGAAATGAAGGAGTATACCTTTGTCTTGCTCGAGGTCATCTTCTGTTCCGAATCGAATTCGATCAAATACTAGTACTCTAAAATTGGGGCAAAGGAGTATCAGAAATTGAAAATTCATTGTGTTCCTTGTCTGTATGAATAAACATCCATTTGTTTTATTTATCTCTTACAAATAACTGACCTTAAAACCTTAAAAAAATGATTGATACAATTTAATTTAGGGGATGTGTTTCTTTTCAAATCCTCCAGATAAGACAAACGAATTTCGATCGATGAGTTTTTTAAAATGATAAAAATATCTGAACGCTAGGATTGATTCAGGTGTGTCTAGTGCCTCCCAATCCTAGCCCAAGGATCAATAAGAAGTTTTAGACTTGAGTCATTTGACATTTCTCTCCAGAAATTAAAAAAAATCTCCATATTACGTACATTATGGTTTGGAGAATTTTTTTATTCACGAAGAAAAATGTTTAAAAACGTCAAATGTCTGTGCTGAATCTGTACATTTTCTTAAAGTTTTTATTATAATTATATAGAAAAAGGATAAGATTTGAAATGTCATTAAAAATTGTTTCCCTTTCTTCTCGTTAATTAATTAGAATTTTCAAGTGTCACTTTATGGAAACTATTTATTTTATAAATGTCTGAAAGGAGATGGACGAATAAGGCGTGCAAAATGTCTAAAGCTTCAAATGTATAAAAGTCATATTCAATTTGTGACTATTTAGTATTTAGAGTAAAATTCTTACCATTGAAAGGTGTGAAATTATAACAAACAAAACTTTTCTGCGAAAAATTCTCTCAGCAAAAATCATTCTAAAATGTGATATTTTTGGGTCCGATCCCAAGCAATAAAACTCTTCAATTGGGTTTCAACTTCCCTGCGAGACTAACACGCTTACCACTAAGCTATACCACTCAAAACAAATATGGGCATTTAAATCATGTTTTGATATGACCCTTGGCTAAATGAACTTCAAATATTTCTCGAAAAAATACAAATTCCGTGTCATTAAGAACCTCTATACACTGCACACTAAAGGATTCTGATTCTTTGGTATTTTTATGTAGTTTGAGTAATCTGCCCTTAGATCTAAAATAAGATAAATTGAAGTCTACAGTTTATCGATCAATTTCTAATCAATTGAAGCATTCTTAACATTTTGATGGGCTAAGATAAATTAATTGAACACTTCATCTGCATGCTTTTCCCCACTTAGGTAAACAACAGTGATTTCTATTCATCAAAACTTAGTTGACCTTGAACATTTTTCCTGGGGGCAAAAGCAAGACACCCTATGTTGAAAACGATATAAATAAGCTCAATATTTACACCTTTATACAATATAATTTTCTCAATGTCCAAAAACATTTTCGTTTAGTGTAGAGAGGGTCCTTAAAATGTATCTTTAAGGTATAGTGAGTCATTTCTCCATGTTTTTGTTGACCAAAGAATGTGCATTTTTACGCATACTTTGAGTATAACCTTTCACAAAAATGGAGCTAAGACCCTCTCGTATGGAAAAATTGTGTTTTAGTATGAAGAATAATTAAATTGACCGTTTCTTGCCCTCTTTGGTGTATGTATGCTATTTCTTAGATGAATACTTTCAATATTTGTTATAAATGATTAGGTACCATATTCAAGAGTTTATTGACATAAAAGATTAATATATTTCAAAACATGGCCGTTAGTGAAATTTTTGGTTTGAAAATCATTTTCAATCATCTAGCAGCACAATTTGCAAGATTATAGCAAGCTGTTAGCCCTGTACGAAATTTGGAAAAGTCAGGAGAGAATCTAAATTGCTCGTATATTCATCATCTATTACATTTTTGAAAATCATATATCTGGAAGTAAAGTATTAGGTAAATTGTTTTTATGACTCTAATTAAAACTCTACCAAAGCTGTGAAATTCTTAAATCGTGGCTTTCAAGGTCTTAAATATATTTGTTATACCATTTAAAATTTTCTTTACTCTTGTAAATTCTGCAGGCATTCTCTTCGCATGGTGCAAATACATGTAGTTCTTCTTTTTTTTTATATCTATATAAAATTCATGTCGTAAAGGTTGAGTGGTTGTGCCTCTAGGGGGCGCTAGCTTCATGTTATATTGAAAATCCATCGCATTTTAAATAATCATCTTTACTCCTCCGAATCTGAGAGTCATGCAATGTAATAATAAACAACGAATACCCTCTACAAAACTGTAAAATTCGTGTATTTTTTTTGGGGGGGGGGGGGGTCCATAGCTACAGTTCTCTATGTTGCTGAGTTGGTCATACCTTTAAAAAACGCATGAATTTCATGCTATCTGTTTCTTGTAACTATATTGCACTTACGTTTGAGGTTAAGGGAATTTGACAAAGATCAGTAATTCTTCCTCCATACATTCAGCTAATGAGGATGCAAGCATACTATTACTTAATACCTTTTTTTAACAGAACATCATTCAAAATTATCAACTTCTAAGACATTAGAATTTGCAGAAAACCTGACAAATTGACAACAATGATTAAATGTTAAATATACTTTTTATTAACAAATATAAATTACATTTTATTCTGCAATGTCTTTAAATTAATTTAATCTGGATTCCTACAACTTTAATTCCTCCTGAAAAACTTCCGAATTCTGTTTAGAATTCCAATTTTTTCTCTATGAATAGGGTTTTCTTTTTTCTGAAAATAAAATACAATAAATCAACTTCAATGCAATTTCTATAAATAAACAAGCAGTTTCAAACACATAAGATACAAAACATCTTAAATACACATTGTTCGAGTATTTCAAAAAACATTAAAATACATGAAAACTGATCGTGTACTCACATTCACTGATGAGCAACAGGATCCACAAAGAAACACACGCCAGAAAGGTGATCTCTTGTTTGATACACTAGCAGTGTGTTCAGTAAAATCTTCATCATCAGCAATGCTTTCAGAGTCCTTCAAATTGGGATTTTTATGCTGAAACTCCTCTGGATAAATAATCTGTCATTTGGAAAGATAGTATATAAGATTTGATGCTTGTTTAAATACATGTTGAACAACTCGAGATGTATTTTTGTTTAATTCTCTGTGAAATTTTTATTACTAGCAATTTTGGGTTGTGAAATCTATGAAATGTATTTTCTTCATCCCCAAAGACAGGTTCTATTTTACTATGGCAATCTGTGAAGCTTATTTTTCTATATATATGCAAAAACATACTTCAAAGTGGTCAAATTCCACCTTGAAACTGAATATAATGCAGCTTTATTGTTTTAAAAACTGGACGATGATTAAACTACTTTTTTAACTACATGGAGTTGCATTAAAGAAACAAAACATGCAGGAAGCCATATCATCATTCCCTCACCTCTGTTGATAACAAACAAATCTCAGAGTCCATGACAACTAGACCATTTCTCTGGGAAATATGCCTAAAGGAGAAGAAAAACATAAACTTGTCTAATATAACGAGTTTTGAAGATTTATATTTCAAAAGTTTATAAATGAAAACTCAAACTTACGTTTTGAGTGGAGCTACAGAAGCAGCTTGTGTTAAATCTACAAGACATGTTTTCTCCTCCTCATTGGAAATCTGTAATGGAGCAACATTTAAATAGTTAATTAAATCTTCCATACGATCCTATTCTCCATATAAACATTGCCATAAATTTAATTTGTAAGAATATATTACTCTCTTACCTTTATGATTTCTTGCTTTTCTGTATCACTCCCTGAGCTTTGGGGGTACATGTCTGCTGAATGTGTCGGTTGAATACTAGTATTTTGATCCTTGTTTGAATCACAGAGAAGATACTGCGCATGAACCTCCACAATTTCTAACCCTGAGCGTTCATCATAAATGTACACAGGCTTTTGTGTTTTCCTAATGAAACAATTCTCAGTGGAGTCAATAACATGAGAAACACTATGTGTGTTTTGGGGGTGGACATCTTTGTTTCCAGTTACATTACTGCAATCCTGTATGGCACTGCTGGCTTCAGGTATATTCTTTACATCATGGAGTGTACCATCTCTCTGAATGTCAGCTTCTTTATCAATAAAACTGACTTTATCTTGGTTGAAACTGTTCTCTGTATCTTTCCTGCACAGACTGACATCAACTTTGGGACTGTTTTCTTTTACAGTATCACTGTCAGGTTGATCTTTGAGAAAATTCTTCATGATTTCCATATCACGGCCAACATCCTCTTTTGGCTTGTTGTCGTGGTTTCCAGTAATACGGATTACATCGTCTATGAGATTTTTCAGAACCTGGGCGACCTCTTCTCTTGGACTGTTTTCTGTTGTTCCCGGATTAACAGAAGGAATATCTGTTTTGGAATTGTCGTCTTTGTTTCCATTTACAGGACCGTTGTGTTTGTTTATGTTGCTGGATATAATTCCTAAATCGTTGTTGTTGTCATCAGTATTTTTGAAACTCTTCAAATGAGTGTACTTGGGGTTAATCAGACCATTTTCGACAGAGCAGCTGTCCTCTTGGTTCTTGGAGGGGAATGTTTCATCCTAAATAAAAAAAAAAAAGTGTACTTATATTCAAACACATTGATATAAATTGTTCGTAGAGAAATTACAAAATATTTATAATTTGGTGATAAAATAATTGAACTACTACTGATCTACCTTGGATGGGAAAGCATTAACTTTTCTGTATCTCAGTGGAGCTGTGTCATCGCTCAGTTTTCTGGGATTTTTCAATTGCCATAAATTTAATATGTAAGAATATAGCACTTTCTTACCTTTATGATTTCTTGCTTTTCTGTATCCCTCCCTGAGCTTTGGGAGTAAATGTCTTCTGAACGTGTCGGTTGAATACTAGCATTTTGATTCTCTTTTGAATCACAGGGAAGATACTGCACTTGAATCGCCGGGTTCTCCCCAATTTCCATTCCTGTTCGTTCATCATAAATGCACACAGGCTTTTGCGTTTTCCTAATGAAACAATTCTCAGTGGAGTCAGTAACATGAGAAACACTGTCTGTGTTTTGGAGGTGGACATCTTTGTTTCCAGTTACATTGCTGCAATCCTGTATGGCACTGCTGGCTTCAGGTATATTCTTTACATCATGGAGTGTACCATCTCTCTGAATGTCAGATTCTTTTTCAATAAAATGGACTTTATCTTGATTGAAACTGTTATCTGTATTTTTCCTGCACAGACTGGCATCAACTTTGGGACTGTTTTCTTTATTTCCAGTATCACTGCCATGGTGATCTTTGAGACTTTTCTTCATGCCTTCCATATCACGACCAACATCTTCTTTTCGCCTGTCGTAGTGGTTTCCGGTAACACGGATAACATCGTCTATGAGATTTTTCAGAACTTGGGCGACCTCTTCTCTTGGACTGTTTTCTGTTGTTCCCGGATTAACAGAAGGAATATCTGTTTTGGAATTGTCATCTTTGTTTCCATTTACAGGACCATTGTGTTTTTTTATGTTGCTGGATATAATTCCTAAATCGTTGTTGTTGTCGTCAATATTTTTGGAACTCTTCAAATGAGTATAATGGAGGTTAATCAGACCATTTTTGACAGAGCAGTTGTCCTCCTTTTTCCTGGAGGGGAATGTTTCATCCTAAATAAAATAGTTATATTTAAAGACATTGATAGAAAAATTGATAGAGATATTAGAAAATATTTATAATTTGGTGATAAAATGATTGAACTACTACCACTCTACCTTGGATGGGAAAGCATTAGCTTTTCTGTATCTAAATGGAGGTGTGTCATCGCTCAGTTTTCTGGGATATTTCCCAAATTGTGGATCACGAGTATCGTAGTATCTCCTGTTTCTGAATCTTGGTTTTGTATACTGCTGTCCTCTTGTTGTTGATGGGTTGTTTCTGTTGTAACGAGCCAAATCAACTGGATCATTCCTTAACTTCACATTATCTCTTGAATAGCTTGATTTGATATTGCGTCTTTTCTGTAAGAATGTTGAATTCATTCACTTAATTCAAGGGAAAAAAACGTTATGCATTAAAAAAAATTGATTTTTTATTTTTGTTACCTCAGAATATGTCCCTTTTGATGGAACTTGTTCATACATTGTATCAAAAGTTTTCAGATAATCCTCCAGGAAGAGACCAGCCTCTGGTTGTGAATTAGTTTCTTTTCTCTGAAATCCAAGACAGATTGTTATATTTTAAAGGAAGAGGGTGAGAAAAAATATGAATTTATACATTTCAGTAGATATTATATTTTCAAAATCAAAGCTTTCTTTAAATGCTCAAGACGAACTTGTATGCTTATGATATTGCTGACTATTGATGTTCAGAGTTCTGTTATGCACTTATATTGATATGTCTTACGCAAGCAAGCAAAAAAAAAAAAAAAAAAAAAAAAAAAATATATATATATATATATATATATATATATATATATATATATATATATATATATATATATATATATATATATATAAATATATATATCTATATTTATATATATATATATATATATATATATATATATATATCTATATTTATATATATATATATATATATATATATATATATATATATATATATATATATATATATATATATATATATATATATATATATATATAATAACCCTATCCCTTCCGATAAACAAACTAGCTTCTAAATCAAATAATCTATTTTACTGTACCTTCAGCCTCTCTTCTTCTTCCACCTTATCCGCCCAGGAATAAGAAAACTTCAGTATTTTTAATTTGGACTCCTGTAAATGAAAGAATTCTAACGTGATATATCAGACCTGGTTTACGGTGCACTTGTATGTATTTGCATCATTCATTACCCTAGACATTTTTTAATCTATGAAAAACTACTTGTCCAAGAGCAAGAAAATAACCCATTACAGTGGTAAGAAGAGGAAGGTATAAAAATCTTTCTTATTACTCTTACTTGATGTCACGTCAATATATATTTTAATATGCTCTATTTCTTTCAAATTTTATATGCATGGCACAAAGTAAGGGTCACCATAAAAAATATAAATATTCACTTACCACATCTGTAACAGGCTCATCGCCGAAATCCAAGATTTCCGTCTACAAACACAAGATATATATTTACAATGCTTTAATACAAACATACATATATAAAATGAACATAATCTTTTTCATTGAAGGGTTTTTTTTCTGGAGGGGGTGGATGGGGGAGAAGGAGGGGTGGGGATGTGAATGAGAAAAAGAACTGAGAAGCGGAGAGGGTGCACAGTTGACTAGAAAGCGGGGTTACATTCATTACTGTTATTTATGTTAAGTTTGAAGTACATAACTAGAAGACCATTTTTGTCAGAATTAAACTTATTGATTTTATTGCATTCTTTAAATGTATATTTCAATGACTCATCCTGGATAGAGAGATTATGATTTTGACAACAAAATAAGGATATGATTTCAAATTTTTGGAGGTACAATGGTATATTGAAACTATTGCTTCGTCACATCATATATTTTAATACTATCATAAAAATATATTTTGTACAAATGTGAATCAGTATGAGATCTGCCTCCTTTCAGAATGGGAGGGAGTCGGTATGGAAGAAATGTCCCTGCCCTTCCATGATAACAGGAGAAATGTTCAAGAATAAGTAGATCAACAAAAATAATTCTGCACATTAATGGGCTCAAGAATGCGAATTTATTACCTTGTTCTTTATTAGATTTAAAGAATTAAACGTAGTTTTGTTCAGCTTTTAAATACATGCACATTTACCGGGGGATAAAACTACAAAAGAAGTGCGTGTGCGTTGTCCAGTACAAAATAATGTTACTCACATAATCCATTTTCTTCATCTATCAACAAGTCAACAATGTTGCCAACTGTGTCATTGGTTTTAACGTCATAATTATATTGTGACGTCACAACTAATTGTGACGAAAACAAACGGAAAAATAAAAGAAATATTGAGATAAAATTTAATAAAGAATGTGTCATTGATTTTTTTTTTCTTCACTGGCTTTTTTAAAATCAGATCCTAGTTTTACAATATAAATACCGATTATTTATCTATTAAACTGTGTAGGGTGGGGGTGTAAAGGTAGCCATAAATATCACACTTCACTACACACAAACAGTACTAGCAAGACAAATACTTTAAAACCAACGAAAATCACTACAAATATAAACAGTTTTTGTAGAATTAAGTACAATAATACTTGAGAATTAACCCGAGCATCAAAAATAAATGAATAAATAACCAACTAATTAAATAAATAAATACTCATGTAAATAAAATGAAATAAGACTTGCTGCATTAAATGTCACTGATAAATGCTTCATTTCAAAGAAGCACGTAATTTCTGCAATCATCTAACTGAAAAAGTATCAATTTAATAAAAATCAATAAAATAAATACTAGTATTGCTACTCACATAATCCATTTCCATTTTCTTCGCTTATATAAGTCAACAGTGTTCCGACATTCGTTGCCAATTGGTTCTGACGTCATAATAGCTTTTATGACGTTACAATAGATCTTTTTTTTCATTTGAGGAGGGTCGGCAATGTCTGAAACCCATAACTTCTGACGTTACATGCATTCCCTTTGAATTTTATACATGTATAATTGAAATAGAATTAGCAAAACGAAAAATCAAAATGACAATGATGAAAGTTTAAACATTCATGAAATTATTAATAATTCTTACTCTTTCGTATACAATATCAGTTTTTTTATTTCTGAAAATTCGTTTGGTCCGGTCGATAAAAACATTCCCTTTAAAAATTATCAAACGCACAAAAATAAATTCAAAATGAATATTACGGATTTTGTGCAGATATACATGTATAGAAAACATGGCCTGGAGAGGTGGAGGCGGCGGTATGCGCCATCCCAAATATTTTTAACAACTTTCTGTCCTTCAGAATATTATTTTAAAAAGATTTTTCCTCCATATTCTCTTGAAAAATATTGACCTCATATTGTGGCCCAACCCGAGCCCCAGATGACTCAATCAACTTCAATCTAAACTACAGTGAAATCGTAAATAACGTAGCCCTGCTGTCCCTGAAACGGAGATTTTCTCAGTTTTTTGCCTATACATACATATATGGTGTAAAATTTGATATTTTTTTTTAAATTTTAATCCCACCCTAAGTAACCCACTGCTCATAATTTCAACAAACTCTGTTCAACATGACGTGGAAATATGATTGCAAGTAACCTTTATTTAAATTCAAGTTATGAACTACAGTGTAGTATAATTTTGAATACCTCTGTTAAACCCATCTTATCCCAAGGGGCCATGATTGGGAACAAATAAAACCTGCATGGACTATATCTGGATGATTGCATATTGATATGAGTAGTCGTTGCGCAGCTCTTTATGAGAAGTGGATTTTGAAATATTTCTTCTAATAAATATTTGATCCCTTAAATTGTGGCCGCACCTAAACCCCGTGAACTGTAAACTACCTTGGAATGCTTGCATAATAATGTGATTTATAAAGGGACCCTGCTGCCCTTGAAGATTTTTTCCCAATTAACATATTCTTATCCTCCATTGCATGTGACCAAACTCTACCGCCAGGGGCTGTGGATTCAACGAACTTGAACTTGCACTACCAAAGGATGTTAACCATGGCCTTGCTTTTCTCGTGAAGATTTTTAATGATTTTTGTTCTCAATATTTTTCCATTTAAACCTTTGATCCTCTATAGGGACCCAACCCTACCGCTGGGGGCTTCGATTTCAACGGAATGAATTTGCACTAAATGAGGTTGCTGACAAATTCAAGTCCTTCTGTTCTTGAAGACGGACTGCTCACTTGAGCTTTTAACTCAGGTTATGTTAAAAGAAAACACACACACATAAAACAATAACACTCGGGGAAATCATGGGGAAATTCAAAGCAACTGTTTTAGGATAAGTGGGTTTCAAAAAAATTGTGAAAAATCATAAATTTTCTCTAAACTGAGAGAGAGAGAGTATTTGTCTAGAACACAGGCGCTTGACGTTTTTAACCTTTCTTTCCATAAATAAAAAAATACCCCATACTATAATAATAACGTTATTATTATAGTATGGGGTATTTTTTTTATTTATGGAAAGAAAGGTTAAAAACGTCAAGCGCCTGTGGTCTAGAACTGTCATGTGACACAAGGAGTGGGTTTTTTTAAGCAAAGAAAGACAACTCCAGCTTGTTCAGCGGAAAATATGCTAGAAGTCATTGCATGCCTCGTCATTGCCTGGTTGGAAATCAGTATGCATGTCTATAGATTAACCACACAAAATTCAAAACAAATTAAATATATAAAGCTATATATGGCGTATCTGAGCTAAAAAATAAAAATACGAGATTGAGTGTAGATGAACGTATTTGTTATTTACGTTCAAATTAAAATTTTCACCGATTTTGAACTTGAATAACCCCACGTTTCTATAGTTAAAATGACTTTAAACTGTGTCTGATATTTAAATGCGGAGTCGGTAAATAAATCGGTTATTGTTTTAAAATTCTAATATTTATGAAACGCGATTGATTTAAATTGTGTTATTTACAGGAAAGTCCTATCTTTATATAAAGCAATAAAACAAATAGAAAGATCTTTTGAATTTTAGTTAGTCTAAACTTATAAAAAATACGCGATATATGACTTTGACTTTTCCCAACAGCAGCAATGTAGGAGTACTGATGCCCATGCTCCCATTATTTAATCTGAAATCTCAAAGTTAATTTTCTTGCCAGAGTGCATTTGTTGTACTTTTGAAGTACAATTTTCTGTATCTCAAGCAACATGCTGATATAGCATATTCCTAAACAAAACACTTGATAACAAGTCTTTGTTCATGCTTGAAAAATAAGACAGCCTCATTGTTTACGCTTTATATTTATACTATAAATAATTTATTTTTAAATGCCATTATTTATATTTGAGTATTACAAAAGAGTGTTAAACAATTGTTATTTAGCATGAACACTAGAAGGACAAACTGGAAAATTTGTTTTTATAGGGCGCAATCGTCAGACTTCCGCAAAGAACAGAGAGACAGATAAATTTGTTAATGCGGAAACCATGAAAATACAGAGATAACACAGCGAACCATGTTTGGGATTGCCTTGTACGCTTAAATTACAGTTTTTAAAGAAATGTCTATTTTAAGAACCTACAAATTACATGTAATATTATGAGTTTTTCCGCTCTCTAGGATGTATTTACAATATATCTTTATACTGGTAAAAGAAAAAATATAAACAGGATACTCAAAATATAAATGGGGCATTAAGTTGAAAATAATCATTTTAGGGTAGAAGTAGGGCTTGCTAAAACATGTCAATGAACTTAATCAAAGGATGTTGGGTCGATGTTTAGGGATAAATATTGAATATCTAACGTTCAGAAAATTCTTTTCATGGGTAGAAAACCATGAGGAAGAAAACATCTACGAATACATAAACTATTAAACTGCAATGCAAAAATAGTTAATCTGCCTGGAATACATATGAAAGACACGAGATAGTTTATATATTTCCCCGCTTTATCCAACAGCATTTTAATGTCCTGGCCTGCATGTATACAGTGTTTTTCAATAGCATATCTCCGTTGAATAATGCGCATTTCATTGTATGTGCAGAATTTTTTGTTCATCCAATCTTTGATACGTTTAATATTGGATAATCATTGGAAATATCCCTGATAATCAGCTACCATCGCGTTTCATATTGTTGTATGAATACAAGTGGTCAAAGATCTGGAACTTCTTCTAGCGCATTAAATATTTTTTACACTTAAATTACCATCAAAAGTACTATTTGTGGAATTAAATACTCGATCGACAGAAATATGCAACAGATCTTCAAGCAAACTTGTTCCTTGTGCTACGTTTTATCCTTTAAGAAAATACATGTAGCATACGTGTACATATCTACGACAACCCTTGTACGAAAAAAAAAATAAGATCAAACAGTAACAGAGCAGTTTTTTTTAATACAAAACGCAAGGCAATGGTAAATACGTTTTGATGGTAATTTATGTGTCTGGACTTTTGATGATAATTTATGTGTATGGACTTTTGATGGTAATTTATGTGTATGGACTTTTGATGATAATTTATGTGTATGGACTTTTGATGGTAATTTATGTGTATGGACTTTTGATGGTAATTTATGTGTATGGACTTTTGAGAATGATCAATGTTTGTTACCTTCACATCACTCAGAACAATCTTGTAATTTTACAACTTTGATATTTTAAGTTGTTCTTCATCTGAACCAAATGTCGAAAGAATTTATCTCGATAAATGAAGTAAACATCACAAAGCTCAAAATTCGATGAGAAATATAATAATTATTAATGATAGAAATTTAATTTTATTTTCAGAAATAACATATGACCTTGTTCTTGAATATCAAATTATCTTTTCAGGAGCCTAAATCCATTTCAAGAATACAAATTATGAGCAGGGCTAACACAGACCTCTGAAAACAGAGGTGGGATCAGGTGCCATGAAGGAATAAGCATCCCCTGCCGACTAGTCACACCCGCTCTGTGATCTTGGTCATGATCAGGTACAGTAAACGGAAAATCCGTAGTCAATTCAGTGTGAAAATAATGGCTCAAGAATTTGTATGAAAGACGTCAGTCAACATCTGACGAACACAGATTGTAATTGCTAACAATGTCACTGTATAGACCATAGAATTTGCGAAATGTTGACTTTAAACCAGAGTGTTGGTGTCTTCAGTTTTCTCAACCAGAGAGCTACAGTTTTTCAGCTAGTAATAAATTCTTTTTTTTTCACTTCCGAATGATTGAAGACAGAACTGAAAATATTGTTTTCATATTGCTCCTCAACCATGCATTTATTATATAAACGATATATTTATACGAGATTTCAAGATACCTCTTATACTTTAAAACCAAAGTGTCAAGGTCTTCTTTTTCATGTTTGACACATTGTCTGGCATAATCTTCGACAGAATTCATAATATTTATGAAATTTGTTGCCAGTTGAAAGATTGTGGTTCCCTCAATTTTGGCCCTTTTAACAAAAGCGATATTAGATCCTCATTGTTAACTACAGAGAGTGTAGAATACAAATCCCAGTTTAAAACTTGTTTTTAGCCCACCCACCCCCACCCACTGATCGAGAACGAAAAAGTAATCCCATGCATCATATAAATGTTAAGCTTTCCGTCATGACTAATTGAAATACATTTATAAAAAAAAATGTCTAGAAGAATGTCTCTCTGACTCATAATCCCTATTCTTATAATAATAATACATGTAATTATACCCCCCCCCCAAAAAAAAATATAAATAAATAAATAAATAAAATAAAAAAAATTGTTCAGAGAGTTTGTGGAAGGCAAATTAATTTTCTGTGTAGCTACTTTATAGATCAAGATGTTGAGACACGAGAAAGACACAACATGATTTTATTTAG